GCACGTAGCAAGTCAGGGTTGATGACTGTCCAAAATGAATAGCAAACCTTCCTCCATGGCTTTATCCATTATATATTTAGCCTCATTACCATTGTCATCCCCATCACACAGATGAACACAAGGTGGAAGACGGATCCGATTTGCACAAAGAAAATCATTCTAAATTGATATGCACTTGGTGTATCAGAAGCACCGAATATGTGCCTGGACCGGATTTGAGCAGGAGAGCTGACCGTTTGCATGAGCACTCAATGACTACCAAATTTGAATGAACGAGCTCATCATACTACTTGACTAGTGCCGAGGTAACTAGTAGACTTTTGCTACGTTAACAGCTGCCCTAGATTATGTCCTGTTAGCAAACACCCACGCCGTGAAGCGGCATCCCAACGTCGAAAATCCCCGCTCATTAGAAGAGGGAGCTCATAAAATCAAAGGTGTTTATTGAAACCTATTATCAACACAACACGGCCGCATTAGGCTTCTCTTTTGTCAGTTATCCAGTGTCCGTATCGCCTTCGTAATTATTGTATCAATAAACCCCAAGAACTGAAAACATTTGTAATTATCTTTTTAAATTTTTTGCCGTCTGATTTCGTCTTAAACCTTCGTCTTCTTTTAAGGCTAGGAAGACCAGAAACCTATTCTAGCAAAAGATCTTAGAAGTAACAACACGGGAGGCAGAGTTCTAATTTGATGAGATACTACCTTAAATGCTCCAATTGCGACTTTGACCTTTCGCCTCACAGCAACTCGATCTAGCAACCTAGTTATTATTTCTCAACTTAGGTTTTTCCTTCTAGCTATCGAATTCTAATAATTAGTTACTCTGGTTTGAGGTTAGTTTCAGCTTGAGGATTACTGCAACAAATCAGAGCTGTTCCATGTTTCATTCCGAAATCCATACTGAAGGTAAAAGTCTGCCTTAGCGTCAATGAATTCCTGCCCTCTCCAGGCTTTCAAATTCCCAGTTAGCATTGATTAGCTGTATTTACAACAGGGCTTTGGTCAATATGATAAATTAAGATGCCTTGGCTCTCTATTGGTGTACAGAGGAGCATGGCTTGCACGTAATCTCACAGGCCAATCAGAAGGAGCAGTTTTGTCGGATGCTATGCGCGAAACAGTTTGATTGGCTGAAAAGCTGGTGTCGGGTTATGTGTGGTCAAGCTTTCAGCAG